AGAGGTTATGCCCATGAGTTAGAGTGAACATTCTTTTCTGCTGATCCTAAATGTTTAGACAAAGCATCATCCCCTGAATTACTCACAAATCAGAAAATCTTTCAGTCCACCTATGACCTGTGGGCACCCCCGTCCCCTGAGATGTCCCATCTTTTTAGATCATACCAATCTATAACCTCCATGTACAGATTGATGACATTGCCTGCAACCTCTGCCTCCTCACCTTTAAAAACTCTTACCTGTAAGTCATCTGGGAGTTTGGGTCTTAAGCATGAGCGGCCTGATTTTCCTTGTTTGGCACCCAGCAATAAATGCCTCACGTTCTCTCAGTGCTATCCCAATATCAGTGTTTGACTTTGCTGTGCTGGGCAAGTGGACCCCAGTTTAGTTCAAAACATCTTGAGCTGGAACAAGGGTCCTAGATAGAGAAGTCCCGGTGCTGCAGAGCAGAGATCAAGAGCAACAGCCAGAAACAGTACTGGCCCAGCCGAGAATTGTGGGCAATGCAGGACGGTTCTCTGGGTGGCCTTGGACCAACCCAGTTCTCCCCCTTTTCTTGCCTGTAGTCCACAGGAATAACCATAGGATGTGCTGGGAATGACATATCCTGAGACAGGGAGCAGGACGGCCTGGACCTGTTCCTGTCCCTCCTAGGGAATGTAGTGTATTGAGTTGGAGAGGCACTGCCCAGGGCAGTGCAGGCTTTGATCCTCTCCCCACTAAAGCAGGGTGCCCTTTGATGCTTTGCCACCTGAATCACATAGTCCCTGAGGGATATAACCCGGGGCAGGCTGCCTTTTGGGGTCCATCAGCTGTGGCACATAGTGGCACATGTGCAGACAAGACTCCATCTACCCTGAGCAGCTTTCTTGAGCCTTGGGGACCTGGCTTATAATGGATGAGACTTCTTCACTACCTCTTGTGTACGTGTGTTCTGCCTCAATGGACTCAGACACATTGGTGATCAGTGCTTCATGATCCTAGGCAGCAACATGGGCAAGTGTATATGGACTCCTGTGTCTCCTAGTTGGCATAATAACGATCTTTGCTTTTCACCATGCAGTCAGAGTCCTCTCCTGGGATTGGCGATTAGCAGCCCCGCACCACAGATGGGGGGCCAGGCACTCTAAGCAGTGGCAGAGTCCCTGGGCACTCACTGATCATTGAGCTTGGTCAACACCTCTGTGACCTGGGAGGCCACAGAGAAGAACAGCATCCGTTCATGTTACATCTTAGGGCCACGTCTTCCTCCTCCCCTCCGCCAGTATTCTACGTGGGAGGAAGGGAACAGAGTTGGAAGAAACAACAGTGGGGCCAGCCTGTGATTTGCCCATTTAACAAAGAGTGATGAAAGTGCCTGTATGTGCCAAGCAGTGTGCCAGGCAGTGGGATATCCAGGTGTCATGGTGAACACAATGAGCCACACCACAGGGGTGACATATCAGTGGGAATGCTTGTTTCCAAAAGCAACATAAAGAAATACACCACATAATGACAAATCATAGTAGGTGTTATGAAGGAAATGTTACTAACAAGGGTGCAGAGGTGGAGAGTGAGTGGTGGGGTGATGGCATCTTCTTAGGCATCTTTGAAGGAGAGTGAATGAGGAGCTCATTGCGCAAAAGGGAGCAGTGGAGATGGAAGGTGGAAGGCAGAGGCAAGAGCAAAGACCCTGAATTTCAAAGACCTCGGTGCAGTCAAAGAGCAGAAGGATGTGAGGGATGCAAGTGAGCAAGGGTTGGAGGGGCTTAAAATGAAGTTGAATCCACAGGGCCAGATCACGCAGGACCTTCGGAGTCATATAAGAAGCTTAGATTTAATTGTAAAGGCAACGGGAAGCCATGGGGGCAAGTTGGGCTGGAAAGAAACGTTTGGGCTTCATGAAATTGAAAGCAAGAGAAAACTAGGGCAATCATAGGGCTGGTATAACAATGGCCTTCTGTTTATATCTCAATGACTTAAGACTGCTCTGTAAATCAGTTACATCTGAAGCATTTCCTGCTTTTGGTCCCTGGATATTCCATCCTTTACATTAGTGAATCTCAACCCTGGTTGGTTAGTTACCTGGGGGAGCTCTGGAAAATTTACTGCTGCTGTGGTTCCATCTTTTGCTAATTAAGTCTGAATCTCAACCATAAATAAAGTTGACACATAAGTTACAGACTGGAATCTAATATTGTAACTTATATAAGACAACAGTTTAACATCCATGAAATAGAAAATTGCATTCTCTTTACAATCGATGAGAGAAAAAAAATTTAAAACTAGGAGAATATAATCATGAAGACGAAGTAGATGCTGTTGATAAACTCCAAAAGATGCTCAACCTCTCCAGTAATTAGGGAAATGCTGAACAAAATAATAATAAATGTTATTTTTCATCCACAAGATGGGTAAATAAAAAGAAAATGACTGATAATGACCAGGATTGATAAGGATGTGTGAAAATTGACGTGCTCAGATATTCTGGAAGTAGAAGTTAGTTCAGCATTTTTAAGGAGTTGGCAATATTTACTTAAATATGAAAAGCATATGTCCAACAAGCCAATAATGCAGTAATTCAACTTCTAAGTTTCTCTCCTGCAGAAATACATGCTTATGTGCACAAAAACACATGTACGAGGGCAGCATCTTTTTTTAATGGAAAAAATCAACATCTCCATTAAAAGAGAGACAGCTAAACAAATTATGGAATGCAATACTGCCTAGTTGTTTGAAAAAGATGTAGATCTTAGGATCTACATCTGGCAAAGAAGTATGTCTGTTATATTCTTTTTTTAAAAGATAACATTGGTGTAATTTTAATTGAGAAGAAAAGCTTTGTCTGATATGTTCTTCAGTTAAGAAAGCAAGCTGGAGAATATTATGTATGGTAGAATCAACTTTATAATCCTGTTATATTTGTGTGTGTGTTTTATACTATTTTATGCATTGTTCTCTGTTTACCCCACCTCAAGGTCTTCAGTAATTTCTTGCTTCACGAGTCTTACAGGGCAGAAAACAGAAGCTGTTAGAAGTCAATAGGTCTTCCTGTGTTGTGTAAAATTCCAAATCACTGAAGAGATTACACTACGGTGTGCCTTTGAGAGTCAGAGAAGAGAGAGAATGCCTTATGGTAACTAGTAGCAAGAGAGAGCAAGAGATTTCCCTATGACTAAAACGGAGCAGGAGGCAGGGGCTTAGACAAGAGGGAAACTTCATCTTGCTTGAGGAAGTAGCAAACCTCGATGAGGGTGAAACCTGATGTGCCCTAGGAGAAGGTACCTGTGCTTGTCAAAGCCACCAGTGCCCCTGCCTCAGACTTGGCACAGCATCAGAAAAGCCACTTGACCTGAAGGGATCTTGTGGGCTCACACAACAGAAGACGACCTCCTTGGCTGGTATATATCCAGGAATCTTTGTGCCACTTGGGGATTGGGGAAGCCCTAATGATGGGAATGGGGGCTTGGATCCAGACTTAGATTTTTTGTACAAGTAACAGGGGTTAAGACCGTGCAATGGGGAAAGGATAATCTTTTCAACAGCGGTGCTAGGAAAACTGAATATCCACATGCAAGAGAAATAAGTTGGATCCTTACCTTATACCACATATAAAAATAAACTTGATGGATCAAAGATTGAAACGTAAGACAAAAAACTGTAAAACTCTTAGAAGAGAACACACGGGAAAACCTTCATGACACTGAATTTGGCAATACTTTCTTGAGTATGGCCCCAATAGCAGAGGGAACAAAAGAAAATGTAGATAAACTGGACTTCATCAAAACGTTAAGACTTTTGTGCATTACAATACAATATTACAAGACAATAGCAGCAGAGTGAAATGGCAACCCATGGATTGGGAAAAAAATATTTGCAAATCATATATCTGATAAGGGACTGATATCTAGTATATATAAAGAACTCCTACAACTCAACAACAAAAAAACTAACCCGATTAAAAAATGGGCAAAGGACTTGAATAGACATAACATCTCCAAAGAAGATATGAAAACAGCCAAAAGGCCCATGAAGAACAAAAGAACAAGCCTTCTGCTGTGTGGGACAAGACCCACGTTACTGCTAGTTAGTTTGGGCAGCCTGCTTTTATTCCCTTATCTGACCCCACCCACATCCTGCTGATTGGTCCATTTTACAGAGAGCTGATTGGTCTATTTTACAGAGAGCTGATTGGTCCATTTTGACAGAGTGCTGATTGGTGCATTTACAATCCTTGAGCTAGACACAGAGTCACAGAGTGCTAGTTAGCTAGATACAGAGTACCAATTGGTGTATTCACAAACCCTGAGCTAGACACAGAGTGCTGATTGGTGTATTTACAATCATTCAGCTAGACACAGAGTCACAGAGTGCTAGTCCTCCAAGTCTCCACTAGGTTAGGAAGATACAGTGTAGCAATTGGTGTATTCACAAACCCTGAGCTAGACACAGAGTGCTGATTGGTATATTTACAAACCCTGAGCTAAATGCAGAGTGCTGATTGGTGTACATACAATCCTCCCGCTAGATATAAAAGTTCTCCAAGTCCTCATACGGTGCAGGAGCCCAGCTGGCTTCACCCAGTGGATACTGGACAGGGGCTGCAGGCAGAGGTGCCTGCCAGTCCCTAGCTGCACCTGCATTCCTCAGCCCTCGGGCTGTGGATGCGGTCGGGGCCACGGAGCAAGGGGCGGCGCCGGTCGGAGAGGCTCAGGCCCCGCAGGAGCCCACCACAGGGGGAGGAGCTCAGACATGGCGGTCTGCAGGTCCCGAGCCCTGCCTCGCGGGGAGGCAGCTAGGGCCCGGCTAGAATTTGAGTGCAGCGCCCGCGGGCCGGCACTGCTGAGGGACCCGGCGCAATCTCTGCAGCTGCTGGCCCGGGTGCTAAGCCCCTCACTGCCCTGTGCCGGCGGTGGCAGCCGGCCGCTCCGTGTGCAGGGCCCGCCGAGCCTGCGCCCGCGCCCGCGCCCGCGCCCGCGCCCGCGCCCGCACCCGCCAGAACTCGCACTGGTCCGCCAGCGTCATGTTCTCGCGGTCGCCTCTCCCTCTACACCTCCCCACAAGCAGAGGGAGGCAGCTTAGGCCTCAGCCAGCCCAGAGAGCGGCTCTCACGGTGCCGCGGCGGGCTGAAGCAGGCGCTGCCAGAGTGGACGTCCAGGCCGAGTAGGCGCTGAGAGTAAGGGCTGCGAGCACATTGTCACCTCTCAGCCTCAGTGGAACTGCTGGATCATATAGTAATTCTATGTTTAATTTTTTGAGCAACTGCCATACTGTATCATTCACCGTGAAGGTCTGCAGCTTCACTCCTGAAGCCAGCGGGACCGCCAACCCAGCGGGGAAGAATGAACAATTCTAGACGCGCTGCCTTTAAGAGCTGTAACACTCACCAGAAAGTATGCGGCTTCACTCCTGACAGCGAGAGTACGAACCCGCCAGAAAGAAGCAGCTCCAGACACATCTGAATGTCTGAAGGAACAAGCTCTGGGCACACCATCTTTAAGAACTGTAAAACACCGCGAGAGTCTCCGGCTTCATTTTTGAAGTCAGTGAGACCAAGAACCCACCAATTCCAGACACAAGGCTACACCCAAAAGAACGGAAAGCAGGGATTTGGACAGATATTTGTACACTCATGATCACAAAGCAAGATTATTCACAATAGCCTAAAGGTAGAAGCAACCCACGTGTCCAAAATAAACCATACAGTGGAATGTTATTCTGTCTCTAGAAGGAAGGAAATTCTGAAGCATGCTACAAGATGGATGAACCTTGAGGACATAAGCTGAGTGAAATAAACCAGTCACAAAAGGACAAATATTACGTGATTCAACTTATATGAGATTTAGGAGTAGTCAAATTCATAGAGACAAGGTATACTGGTGATTTCCTTCCGGGAACTGGAAGAGGCGGGAAATGGGCAGTTACTGTTCAGCAAAGTTTCACTGGGAAGATGAACAAGTTATGGAGATGTATGGTGGTGGTGATTGCAAGACACTGTGAATGTACAGTCTCCAATTTACAATGGTCTGACTTACGATTTTTCAACTTTATGATGATGCGAAAGTGATATTCAGTAGAAACCGTACTTCAGATTTTGAATTTTGATCTTATCCTGGGCCAGCATGTGCAGTGGTGTACTCACTCATGATGATGGACAGCGACAGCAAGCCACAGCTCCAGTCAGGGACACAATCATGAGGGTAAACAACCAATACTCTGCAGCGCACTATGTTGCCAGTATTTTTGGGATATGATTTTGCCAATCTATAGGCTAATGTAAGTGTTCTGAGCACGTTTAAGGTAGGTGAGGCTAAGCTGTGATGTTCAGTATATTAGGGGTGTGTGTATGTGTTGTCTACATATATAGATACACACATCTAACATACATGTATACACACACACACACACACACACATATATATATATATATATATATGAGAGAGAGACAAGGTTTCTCTGTTGCCCAGGCTGGAGTGCAGTGGTGCAATAATAGTTCACTGCAGCCTCAAACTCCTGGGCTCAAGTGATCCTCCTGCCTTAGCCTTCCAAGTAGCCACCATGCCTGGCAAATTTTTAATTTTTTTATAGAGATATGGGTCTCGCTATGTTGCCCAGGCTGGTCTGGAATTTCTGGGCTCAAGAGGTCCTCCCTCCTTGGCCTCCCAAAGTGCTGGGATTACAGATGTGAGTCAACATGCCTGGCCTAGGTATATTAAATGCATTTTTACCTTATGATATTTTCAACTTACCATGGGTTTATCAGGACGTAGCCCCATAGTAAGTCAAGGAGCATCTATACTTAACACCACTGAACTGTGTGCTTAAGGTAAAAACGATACATTTTAAGTTATGTATTTTTATCACTACCGAATAAAAAAGAAGACACAGGAAAAAAAGGAATGTAACATTTCATGTGACATCTGACTAGGGGGAATAAAGTCTACAGCTTTCCTAGAATAAAAGGGTAGACAGCAGATTGCTCACAGTTTATCACTGGGAGAAGATAAATTGCTTTCAGGGAAGGGCAGAAACCTTTAGTTTCACTCTCATGCCTCTGTTTTGTTTGAATTTTTGACACTAAGTATCGATTACTTTTGTGATTTTATTAGCTCACAAGACTTTTCTAGTTGTGCATGAGTCGACATCACCCCATCTCACCACAGCCATGCTACCAGGTCCTACAGACCCTCATGCCTCCATGCTCAGGCTCCTTGGTCCCTAGATTTGCACCCCAGCTACTGATTCATCTCAGTCCTTCACTGGCGACTCACTTCACTGGAGCACCCACACAGGCTGAAGCAGCACAGCCACATGTCTCTGTGGGTCTCTGGCCCTTCTCCCAGCTTCTTCCTGTGCTTGCTCCTGCCACAGGCAGTAGGAGCTGCAGCAGCTGCCACCACCACACCTCTTCAGCCTCTGGTGGCCAGGCCCGGCTCTGCATTACAGAAAGTTGCCTGACTGTTTAAAATTGATACATAATAGATGCACATCTTTTCAGGGTATATATGATAATTTGATACATTCGTATAATGTGTAAAGATTAAACTGGGGTAATTGAGATATTCATTGCCTTAAATATTTCTTTTCTTCATGCTAGGAACACTTAAATTATTCTATTCTAGGTATTTTGAAATGTACAATAGATTAATGTTAACTATAGTCACCCTGCTGATCTATCAAACACTAGATCTTATTCCTTCTATCTAGCTGTATTTTTGTACGTATTAATCAACTTCTCTTCATCGCCCTCCCTCCCCTTCCAGGCCTCTGGTAACCACCAAAGTACTTTCTATCTTTAGGAGATCCACTTTTTTAGCTCCCACATACAAGTGAGAACATGCAGTATTTGTCTGTCTGTGCTTGGCTCATTTCATTTAACATGAAGGCCTCCAGTTCCATCTACGTTGCTGCAAGTGCCAGGATTTCATTACTTTATGACTGAAGAGTATTCCATCGGGTGTATGTACCACATATTCTTTATCCATTTGTCCCTTGACAGGCACTGAGACTGATTTCATATTTTGCCTATTGTGAACAGTGCTGCAATAAGCCTGAGAAGGCAGCTATCTCTTTGATACACTGATTTTCTTTCTTTTGGCTGTATATCCAGTAGTGGAATTGCTGGATCATATGGTGGCAGGCCAGGTCTCACTAACACAGGCCTCCGTAACGACTGTTTCAGGACTGACTGAATGGTTAAGTTAAATATTAAAAGCTAAAAAAAGCCAGTGCCCTTATACAAAGGCTGGAATGTAACAAAAGCCCACCAAGAGTTTTGCCTAGGCCTTTCCTGAACCTTAAAGCATGATTAAACAAGTTTGACCGGGAATCTGAAGAAACTCCCCAGTCCTCCACAAACAAGTTTATTGGGGGTCTGAAGAAACTCCCCAAACCTCCATGATTTAGCAGGAGACAAGATAAGAGTAATCACCGCAGCACTTGGACCCATTTAGATTAAGTAAGTTTACTGAGGCTCCAGAGAAAGGTCTTTAAGACTCAGACCTTAGTTATAGATTAAAAGAAGTTAATCACTTATGTCTTTAGATGAATGCACACTTACACGTAGACATATAGCTTAGAAGGTATATTAGCTCTGGGAACCTTTGTAATTTTGAGTCGGTCTGGCAATAATTTCCAGGCCTTCTCCCTGTAACCGATTATAGAAATAAAAACTCTCTTCCTCCCCAGTTCATCTACATCTCATTACTGGGCCATAAGAAATAGCAGCCCGACCCTCAGTTTGGTCCGGGAACACAATGATAGTTCTATTTTTAGTTTTGTGCGGAACTTCCTTACCATTCTCCATATTGGCTGTACTAATTTACATTCCCACCAACAGTGAATGAGCGTTCCCCTTTCTCTGCATCCTTACCAGCATCCGTTATTGCCTGTCTCTTGGTTAAAAGACATTTTAACTGGTGTAAGAGGATATCTCATTGTGGTTTTAATTTACATTTCTCTGATGATCAGTGTTGGTAGGCATTTTTCATATTCCTGTTGGCCATTTGTAAATCTTCTTTAGGGAAATGTCCATTTAGATCTTTAGCCCATTTTTAAATCATATATATACATATATACACATACATATATACGTATATATACATATGTGTATACATACATATATACGTGTATACATGTATATATGTATATACACATGTATGTATATACATGTATACGTATGTATACGTATGTATATACGTGTGTATACATATACATACATACATGTATATATACATATATACATACATACACAAGTATATATACATATATACATATATATTGCTATTAAGTTGTTAGAGCTCCTTATATATTCTGGTTTTTAATTCCTTGTCATATGAATAGTTTGCAAATATTTTCTCCCATTCTGTGGGTTTTCTCTTCACTTTGTTGATTGTTTCTTTTGCTGTGCAGAAGCTTTTTAGCTTGATGTAATCCCATTTGTCTATTTTTGTTTTAATTGTGCCTTTGAGGTTTTACACGAAAAAATCTTCACCCATACCAATGCTCTAGAACATTTCTCCAACGTTTTCTTTTAGTAATTTCCTAGTTTATGGTCTTAGATTAACGTCTTTATGCCATTTTGATTTGATTTTTGTGTATGGTAAGAGATAGGGGGTCTAGTTTCATTCTTCTGCATACGGTTGTCTGCCTGACTTCTTTTGACAACCTCTTTCCCTGGGTCTGGTCAAGTTGGTTAACAGCACCTTTTTCCTGCTTGGGAGAAAACATCATTAGCTGAGGCATTTCCGGACAGCAATCGTGGAAAACATACAGCCTTCAGAGCTTTAATACTAGGAGCCCTCTAATCAGAAGTTGTGGCCCTTTGTGGTATTGGAGCAACTTACAGAAGCAATGGCCAGCCTGGCTCTAAGTATGAGGGATTATAGAGTGGCACTTGTTGGGATGGGCGTCATCAGACGGAGGGTTTGGATGACACAAGAGGCAATCTAAAGTAGGTTATATGTGAAAGACAAAATCCTCTTCTCCCATTTTCCATGTCTTATTTTCCTCTGTAAATATCAGCTCACTTCAAACACTATAACAACCTACATTGCTTGACAGAGCACGGTGAGAGTGTAGCAGGGTAGGAGGAGTTGATCTGAGACTGAGACCTGTCATTTCACATGAAAATGTTTTGGGAGATTTTCTCCCAGCTTCTCCCAGTGAGCTCTGGATTTCTGGGGATATTCTGCTTGACATCTTGGCATTTGAGTCCCTCTCGCAGGAAATCTTCAAAGTCACACAGATCCCACATTACCAACCAGGGGAATGCCCAGCATCCTATGCAGAGGGAGCGCCTGTGTCTGGTCTCCGTTCCAGTGGGAGGAATTGGAGTTGACATGGTGGTAACTCATATTAAGTCTGGAACAGCTATAGCGCCAGGCTTCTGCTGCCCAAGAGGAAAGATATGCTAGGGTACACCACCTCTGTTTCTGAAGGAGCCACCCTCCATGACACTGGACACATTTCTCTTTCTTCTCTGCCTCTTAGAAGTCGTATAACCTCCAGATGGTTTTTTTGTCTCTCCTAATCTCGGTTTCTTCCTGAGACACGCTGTGGGGGCACTTCCAGAGTGTTTGAGGATTAATGGAGAGCCAGGTGCCTGCTGGTGCATGGCAGGTACTCAGCACCCTAGCAGAGATTCAGCCCCCTACTCTTGCCATCTGGAAAGTCACTTTTCAAATTGTTGATTGTGCTTGTCCACTATAAGACCTGTAGGCATACATAAAACTGACATGTAAACCCCCAAAGAAGAAGAGAATTTTTCCTCACACTCTCATGAGACAAGATTAAATAAATAGAAACATATTCAGTCTCCAGCTGTGGCTGAATCTGGCCAAGGTGGCCTCCCCCTTGTCACAAGGAGACTCCCCAACTGTGGCTGTGGTGCCCCATTTTCCATGTACCCCATTTCCCATGTGCCATATGGTGCCTTTATATAAAGTTTCACATTCTTCAATTATAGTGTTTAAAAGGGAAAACATCAATTTGCTTCCCTTGAATTCCTGATTAACTGGAATGATCTCTCCATTTCCTTTTTAAAATTTTGTTTTATGTGGTAAATATATGTATGCATTAGTCTGCTCTCATGCTGCTCTGAAGAAATACCGGAGACTGGGTAATTTATAAAGGAAAGAGGTTTAATTGACTCACAGTTCTGCACAGCTGGGGTGGCCTCAGGAAACTTACAATCATGGCAGAAGACGCCTACTCATAGGACAGCAGGGGAGAAAAATGCAGAGTGAAGGGGGAAAAGCCCCTTATAAAACCACAGACTTCAGGAGAACTCACTCACTATCATGAGAACAGCATGGGGGAACCACCCCCATGAGCTAATCACCTCCTGCAACATGTGGGGATCATGGGAACTACAATTCAAGATGAGATTTGGGTGGGGGCACAGCCAAACCATATCAACATAACATAAAATTTTCCATTTTAACCATGTTAAGTATATATGTAGTTCAGCGGCATTAAGTTCGGTGTCATTCTCATTGTTGTGTGACCCTCACCACCATTCATCTCCTGATCTTTTTCATGTTCCCAAACTGGAACTGTACCCATTAAACACTCGCTCTCCATTCCCCGCTCACTCAGCCCTTGGCAACAACCATTCTATTTTTCATCTCTGTGCGTTTGACTCCTATAGGTCCCTCAAATAAGTGGAATTATATTTGTCCTTTTGTGTCTGATGTATTTCACTTAGCATAACGTCTTCAAGGCTCATCTGTATTGCAGCACGTGTCAGAATTTTCTCCATCCATTTTTGCAAAGAGAAGCTTGTTCTCCACTGCGGTTGTTCATGCTGCTTTGCGCCGTTAGTCCTTTGTTCCCTTTCACTGTCAGGAAGAGGCAGACGGAAGGAGCATGACTGATCCACCCAGGCCTTCACATCTGTGTCCCTCTGAGCAGCCTTTTTTCCCAATTATGAGGGTTACCTTGGCAACTAATCGCTTTTCTAATTCTTTTTAAGGTTGTGAACTGATGACCAAATTACAAGGGCAAAAGATGGCAAAGATTGAGCATACATTTATGGAAGGGGACATTGTAATGATTTTACAAAATACAAAATGATTCTGATGTGTTTTGTACATTTCATACTTAATTTAAGAAATATCTTTGAGCACCCAACCAGGCACTGTGCTAGGCGTGGGATACAATGGGGAGCAAAAGCAGATGTAGCGTACATTGAACCTGCAAGCTCCAGGGGGACAGACATTGATCCAAATAATCACGAACACAGCTCAACTGCTTGGAAAAAAGACCAGGTTTTTATAAAGCATAGTCCAAAGGCCCCAGCCTAGACTACAACATAGGAAAGGTGTCCCCAAAGAAATAACACATGAACTGAGACCTGAAAAATGAGTGAGATTTGAGCGAGGAGTTTGGGAAGAGACAGCGGCAGCTCAGTGTAGCTGAGGAAGTATTCAGCATAGTGTCAGAGCAGATAAGACATTCGTCTGCTTCCTAGAATGATCCAGAAACTCCCTATGTTTCCTCTGGGAACAGAGGACAATGTACCTTGCCTTTTGGCAGGTAGAGGCTAAGGTAGGGATAACACTGAGCTGGAAAATACCTTTATTTTTGGGTTTGGTCTGTTCCTTCCCTGGGACAATATGTTTCAGAGGCAGGACACTGAACTGGTTTTAACCATGTCAGTGACCTGGAGTTGAGGTGGTAGGCAAGGTCAGAGCCTGGATTGGGGGTGGGCGATCAGGATGTATACGACTGGCCAGGTGGCCCCTGGGAACATGGGAGAGAGGGTCCAGCTTTAGGGAAAGATGGGAGCCAAGAACTAAAATCACAGTCTGGACTTTAACCATCAGCTGGTGCTTAGGGCAATGCATTCATAGCTGAGGGCTTTCTGGAGGAGACAGTCTGGGTTGGAGCTAGAACAGCATTGTGGCCAGAAGGCCCCAAGGCCATCATCAAGTTACATAGAAAGACCACCCTCAGATAGAAAGTTTCCCAATGATTCACTGGAAGGGCTCCCAAAACTCAGGTTATACTCATGGTTACAGCTCATTACAGTGGAAGAATAAATATTAAAATCAGCAAAGGGAAAAGGCATGGGGGTAAAGTCCCAGAGAGACCAGGCATACGCTTCCAGATATCTTCTCCCACTGGAGCTGCACGACAGGACTTACTTCTCCCAGCAATGATGTGACACAACCTATAGGAAGCATTGCCAATCCGGGAGGCTCCCTCAAGCCTTGGGGTTCAGGTTTTTATTGACAATTGGCCACATAGGCATGGAATGCTCATGTGGCTGATCTCAGTTATTCAGTCTCCAGTCCTTCCAGAGGTCACACTGATATAGTGTAGCCCCAGGCCCCCACCAAAAATTGGATTGTTAACATACACTGTCCAGCATGGGCCAAGGCCTCAGGTACTCAAAGATACTGTTATCAGGCAGGATATTCTAGGGCTTGGAATTTGTCTCCCAGGCTGCAGTCGAGAGCCAGTTTCTTTGGAATCTGCAGGGTTAGGACAACCCAAACCTGCTGTACCTGACCCTTTACTGCACAAACATGAATGCTGACATATGGTCAGTGCAAGATGTTTGAGAGGAAAAAGTATCACAAAAAGAGAGAATGTGCCTTTGATAATTATCATCCTTTGCAAAATTCTGGTTTGCCTTTCCCTTGAACCTTAGTTCCCCACTGCTTATGAAATGCCAACCCCAGCTTCCATGTTACTGTGGCCAGATCCCCTCACCATCCATGCCTGTCACTTCACCTGAATTGGGCTGCACTGGGGAACAGAAGGAGAAATCAAATCAGCCCTGATCAGATATGTTATCCCTCACTTTGTAGTCACTATGAGACTGGGCTGGCTCTGCAACGATGCATGCAGAAATCTGTGGGTTGCTCCCGGGGTTCATTCCAGCACTTGCTGTACACAGCTCGCAGATGGTGTTTGCAAGATATTTTATCCCCCACCTTTGCAGTTGCTGTGAAACTAGGCTACCCACTGTCTCCCCTCCACTTGCAGAATACCCTCCAACACCCCCCACCACCACCACCAAATAATGCTTATCTTAGCATTGAGAAATTTTCTTTATTAATTACAGACCTCAGCATTTTACCAACCTGCTTCCACTTGCAACTTCTTAAAGGCAACTGAGCAAAGAGGACAACTATTTTCCCTGTGAATGTTTTAAATGTACTTTAACAAAACAAAATGGGTTTGAAACAGAATTAAAAGCAATTTTCACCAGTTCTTCTTCCCCGCTTCCCACTTCACCACATATTCCTGTCATGCGTGTTATTGTTGTCTCACTTGGCAGTGAGATAATTTTCAGTTACAAATAAAAGTGCCTTTGAGTTTGCATTTACTGTATCTTCTCTTTCAGGTAAAGTCTTGCAGAGATACAATGTCAATCACACAAACTACTTCAGTTGTAGGTGTGTCTCCGCATTAAGACTTTTTGGTATCTGAAATGGTTTCACATGTTCAGCCTCTCAGTAGGGCTGCAGGTTAGCACTACGCAGAGGTAATGTTCTGCACACTGGTATGGTGGGCTGGTCACTATCCCTCTGTTTAGTTACTGCCAATGCCTACCAGTTATTAAGGATGTTGACTGTCACATCGCACTCTTTCTAGAAAGTGTGAGCCTAGGAGGCCCTGAGTTACACCCTGCTCAGTACATCAATTCTAAAATAACAAGATCTTCCTCATTCAACATCAGCAGAACAAAAGGCTTCACTCTAGGTGCCCTGCGCAGGCTCCAGAAGAGTTCACAATTCCAGAGCACTTCATGAAATCACTCTTAGTGTTTATGGTGACCTACCTCTTGTAGAGTTTTGTTTTAGAGACTTTGCTCACCACTTGCAAATATGTGTATATCCACAGCCCCAGCATGTGTTACGGTCCGGATTTAGTTGCTTGCTGTGTGATAAGGACGCAAGTCTCCTCAAAGGCATGTTCCTAATCAGGGCTTTAAGTCGTAAAGGACGAAAGGCTATGGGGAGCTCTCCAACTGTGAAGTGAAGAATTCCCTACGCCAGCACTTCTTCAACTCATGCTCTGCAGAATGGGGTAGGTACACTGAAAAGAGAACTCAGGCTCAAAAGCCTTTGGGATATAGTGGGTCGAGCAGTCTTCCTTATTTCAGGCCTTTACAGAGTCTTTAATGTACTCATACAGATTGCAAATATGCCAGGGAGCCATAGTATGTAAAGTTTCTGATATATCTGGCCCAAGAATATAGCATGTATGTGTGTGTGTCTCACAATGTCCAGCTCCTAGTCCTGCATATTATTACTATTATTTGCACAAGTATATACACTATGTGATATATAATGTTATTTGCATAATATATGTACTATAAAATGTACAACCGGATGGATTTTACTCCTAGGTGTAACATCTCTGTACCACCAGCCGGATCAAGATACAGAGCATTCCCATCTTCTCAGAAAACTTCCTCATGTCCCTTCCGGTCAATGCTTCTATGCCCTTCCCTGACTTCCCTGACTTCTACCCCTGACTTCCCTCCCTTCCCTAACTTCTATCACCATAGACAAGCTTTCTCTATTCTTAAACTTCTTAGAAAGTGAATCGTAATACTCTAGGTAATCCTGTGTCTAGCCTCTATTGCTTAATGTGCTTCAAGATTCAGCCATATTGTTGCATGAAGCAGTTGTATTTTTCCTGTTTTTGTTTGTTTGTTTTGAGGTCTTTCTATGCTGCCCCAGCTGGCCTCGAATTTCAGGGCTCAAGTGATCCTCCCACCTCAATCTCCCAAGTAGCTGGGATTACAGGTGCTTGCCACTGCACCCAACTGAAGCAGTAGTTCTGAAACAATAGTTTTATCCCTCTTTGTCATGGTCCCCAAAGCAGGAAGGATACAGAGGACCTATTAGAAGTGACTTCACGGGCACGTTCGTTGCTCTGACACAATCGCAGGAATCAACTCGTATGTGAGCACCCACCTGTGGCAACAAGAGACTTACTTTACAGTGAATTTGTTCCAGTAGTCCTCTGTCAACTGTGAAGCAAAAATGGAGGCCTGTCTTTGTAAAATTTTAAACATTTTTTATTTAAGTTTTTATTTTTGTATTTTCTTTATTGGGAAGTCAATGTTGTGTTACATCTTGGGACACCTGTACAAACCTTAATTAGAAAATGAATAATCCTTCATTTTCTCCCTCATATGCTGGGGGAATGAAAATGAGTGTAAGACAGTAAGGCAGAGAGGTGAGCTCCAGGTTATTCACTTTCTCCAACAAATATTCAATAAGCATTGATTGAATGCCTAACACCACATTCAATTCCAGAGACTAAAAAAAAAAAAAAGAAAAATAGATGATCATTACCCTCCAAGTGCTCAGAGGCAAATAGTTAAAACTGGCACCCAGTTCAGTGCCTTAATGCACTGTGAGTCCCTACCACAGGATTCTGTTTCTCATTGGTGGTCCTGACTACACAGCAGTACCATTATCTGATGTGTGGCTGTCCCCAACTAGAACTAAGCGAGAGGGGACTGTGTTTTATTCATTTTTGGCCACCAGCTTCTTCAAAATGCCTGGTTTATTCAAAGAAGCCATTCCACAATGAATGAATGAATGAATGAATGAATGAATGGTGGAAGAAACGGCAGTGTCCTCATCCTGTCTCCACTGGTTATTAGCCATGTAACCTTGGACACATTCTGTGACTGGCCCTCGCTTGTTTTCTAATCTGTGAAATGGAGGTAGCCACACTTCTCTTGCAGGGTAGTTGGTAGGATTGAAAAGGCTACCTTGGTGAAGACTCTATCCTGGGCTGACACTTAGCAGATGTTCAGGACTATCAGAACATGAGGAAGAAAATCATGAACTAATAGTGTCTTCTGACCCATTATAGACTGAATGATGGACATATAGGGGTTTCCAGCCCTGATGACCTTTGTCCTCTATAAAGGAGATCAGCCACTGAAGTAGGGGTAGATAGGTGAGCAGAGGCTGGGACAGCATGGGGGTTGTTTGGGGAAGTTTCGACATTGTGCATGAGAGTCATACGTGAAAGGTTTGTTAAGCTGTGACTTACAGAGTGGTTCCATTTTCCCCAGCTGAATTCAGAGAGACCGTGGGGAGTGCTGCCTGGAGTTGAGTGATGGAGGTAACAGGCAAGGCAGAGGGACAACAGGCCTGGAGAGCCTATTTACCCAAGAGGAGTGACTGAAGCATTTACCCACCCTGAAACGGGGTGTGTAGGGAGGGAAGCAAAGATCGTTGAGGACAAAAGACAGGCTTTCTAGAAAGAAGGCTTGTGAAAGAGTTGCAAGGACATGAAGATTAGAGTGTGAGAAGGCCCTCTGAAATTCACATGTTGAAATCCTAACCTCTGGACCTCAGCCAGTGACTGTATTTGGAGACAGGGTCTTTAAAGAGGTAGTTAAGTTAAAATAAGACAGTATGGGTGGATCCTAACCCAACACAACTGGTGTCCTTACAAGAAGAAGAGATGAAGACACAGACGCACTCAGAGGGAAGACCATGTGAGGATACAGGGAGAAGACGGCCGTCGGCAAGCCAAGGAGAGAGGCCTCAGGAGAAGCCAAGCCTGCTGACACCTTGATCTTGGACTTCCAGTCCCCAAAACTTAGAGAAAATACATTTCTGTTCTTTAAGCCAACCAGTTTGTGATACCTTGTTATGGCAGTCCTTGCAAACTAACACAGGGGGAGATGATGGCATTTAGGACATTAGAGTAGAGGCAATTCAAGGTCTGGTAGGAATTTGGGAGTTGCAGGGGGACAGTGCACAGTTGTCACTTGCAGCATATTGTAAACTCCTGGAGAAGTCACATTTTTTTTACAGCTTTATTGAGGTATGATTGACATACAATGAACCGCATGTACGGTTGGCCCTTGGTATCTGGGCTTCGCATCCCTGGATTCAACCAACCAGGGATCAAAAATATTTTTAAATGAATAAATAAAATACAAATTTAAAAACAATACAGTATAACAATTATTTACATTGCATTAACATTACATTCCGTGTTATAAGTAATCTAGAGATGATTTAAAGTATACCAAAGGATGTGCATAGGTTATGAGCAAATACTATGCCATTTTATTTCGAAGGCTTAAGCATCTGCAGATTTTAGTATTCACAGGAGGTCCTAGCACCAACCCCCATGGTACTGACGAATAACTGTATTTTAAATGTACATTTTGATAAGTTTTGACATAAACACACACACACACAGACACACACATACACACACACATATATACCCATGGAGCCATCACAATCAAGATAAACGAACATATCTATATTCCTAAAAGTTTCCTGCATCTCTTTGTAATCTCTCCCTTACGACCCACCCTGACCTCCCTCCCATCCCCAGACAACTGCTGATATGCTTTGTGTCACTGTAGTTTTCATTTTATAGGATTTGATGTAAATGGAATAATATGGGAATAATATAATATGTACTCTTTTTTGTTGGTCTGGCTTCATAATAAATTGCCTCTCAATCATCTCTTTATACCCAGGGCTAAGCATGGTCATCCAATCAATGAATTAACAAATATTTTAGAGTGCCTGCTAGGTGCTTGGTCTTGGCAAAACTGTTCCAGATACATAATAGTTGTTTAATAAATGCTGGACGAATAGTTCAGTGAAACCAAGTAACATAGACTCTATTTTTCACTGAGATATAATTCATATATCATAAAATCAATCATTTTAAAGTGGCCAATTTAGCGGTTTTTAATATATTTACAAAGTTGTACAACCATCACTGCTATCTAATTTCAGAACATTTTCTTCACCCCTAGGAGAAATCCCATACCCAATCCAGCTCACTCTCCATTTGTTCCTCTCCCCAGCCCCTGGGAACCATAAGTCTACTGTCTCTATATAGAGGGGTACTTACTCTGGGCATTTCATATAAATGGAATCATATTGTGAAGGTTGTCAGAATCAAAATGGAATCATTTGTGTCAAAACCCTCAGAATTAGAGCCAGGGAAGTCCAGGAAGAGCAGGTTCTCATGCACAAACCTGATAATAAAAACTCTCACAAAAGACTCTGCAAAAACCACAACCTTGTACAAAGGCCACCACAGCCTTACACATAAAAAGCGTTTCTTCAGGGACATCTTCCCAGCAACAGCCTGTCCTGCCTTGAACTGGCGCCACCCTTGTTATTGATCCTTGTAGCCTAATATAATTATTTCAAATTAAATTATATGATCCTCTGCATTTTTCCTTTAAAAACCTTTGTCTTCTTTTATCTCCCCAAATATATCTGCCATATTCCCATTGCAATGCTTATTCTCAAACAAATATCTTCTATTTTTCAGAGTCTCTCTCTCTCTCTGTCTGTCTGTTATTTAGGTTTTGACATAATTTGGTGTCAGAAGTGAGACTGAAGCTGGCTCGCCTTAGACAGATGGACAACCCCTGAAATTGAGTGAATTGCATGCCCTGAGCCCTTTGGAGCTCTCCACCTCCATGGGTCACCTTTTCTGCCCTGGCGAATCTCCTCTCACATTCCTGGACTCCCTCTTTTTGGTGAGTTCTTTTGACTTTATTTGGGATCTATTTTAGTTATAAGACTACCTTAAATTTAAAAATCTTACATTTCTCTTGGGACTATAAAAGTCTTTTCTGGCAAGCCCTTTCTGCTATAAAGATGAGTGTCTTTCTAGTTTGAGTACTTTGGTTTCTATAAAATTTGCATTCTGTCTGTGAGTCATGTCGTTTCTTGTAAATTTACTTTTTTTTTTTTTTTTTTTCTGCTGACCTGGTTTAACATTTTCTTTGATCTGTGTGCCTGGCTTAAAAGTTTTGTGAGTACTCTTATTTTGATTTCATTTTGATTTGGTTATGCTTGTCTGTAAATAATTTGGCTGTTTTTTACATTTTTTTCTCTCTGTTAACTTGTGAAAATCTTCTGGGAGCAAAGCATTCAGAATAGTGGGTGCAGAATAGCCAATGAAAAGCTGATGCGACTATTCCAAAGACTACATGAAATTTACAAAGGTGTGATGGTCCTCATGTGATGCTGTCAGTCATGATTCTGGTTATCCTGAATGCAATAAAAATAACTAATTTCCTCATCAAGTGTGAGCTCACATTAAATTTTTAACCATGACTAACTTAAACTTTTGTCATCCACAGTTATTGCTTTTATTTTTCTCTAAAAGCATTTATAATCAGTTGTAATCCAAAACTGCTTTTCATGGAAAAAGCTCTAACAAGTAGTTTTTTTTGTTTTTGTTTTTTTTTTTGAGACAGAGTCTTGCTCTGTCGCCCAGGCTGGAGTGCAGTGGCACGATCTCGGCTCACTGCAAGCTCCGCCTCCCGGGTTCATGCCATTCTCCTGCCTCAGCCTCCCGAGTAGCTGGGACTACAGGCGCCCACCACCACGCCCGGCCAATTTTTGTATTTTTAGTAGAGACGGGGTTTCACCATGTTGGCTAGGATGGTCTCAATCTCTTCATCTTGTGATCAGCCTGCCTCGGCCTCCCAAAGTGCTGGGATTACAGGCGTGAGCCACCGCGCCCAGCCTGCCTACAAGTACTCTTAAATACAGGTTCCTGATAACTTTTATATCAATGGACTAAATAAATATTTCTGAACTCTAATAAAACTGTTAGGTTCATAAAACTCCTCATCAAGATCAAAGAAAGCAAAACCTAATTGCATAAAATTGAGTAAGTAATAAACAAAATGTTCCTATGACTGTTAGGTGGAACATTGTTGGTTCTCTGCTTAAATGTTTTGTTTTCCAAATTTAAGGAAACTTTTTCTCTTAAGGTGTCTACAGTTTACAGTAATTTGGTCAAGTATACTTTTATAAACAAAAGTGTAAACATTTACTTTTTCTCCCTACTCGATCTCTCCAAAATTTGGAAACTATTCATGAATATTTTTATTTTTTATGACAGCATAATTTTTTGCATAAATTCAGTAAGGATGTGCTGTGTTTATAACAGGACACAAGTGAAAACATCAGTTATAGTACCAAGGTTTTGACTGGGATGTCATAGTTAGATTGTTTGTAAGTACTACAGGTGAAATCTGAAGTCTGCCTTGAGAGGTTTTAAAATCTGAGATTCCTGTGCAATCAATCACTATCCTTGTTGTGCTTATGTAAATGATCAGACAAAAATCAATGAAACTAAACTTATTTTACAAACAAATTTGTCTCACTCTGGTTATCTTTGGTAAAAATGAAAAAAAGAAAACCTATAAAGCAAAAAATTATGTTTCCAGAAACATATATATTATACCTGTTAGTCCTGTGCATTATTTTCAAGTTTTTATTCCCTACCTATAGACTGGGCTAGATCCTGAATTCTTCTAGGTCCCTCCAATCCACTTTTTTTTCCATGGAATTACTAAAAATGGGAATCTCTCTGCTTCTGCAGCCCTATAAACTGAAATTAAATTTTAAGGGACAAGTTGCATGTCTGATGGAGGGGCTACATGGCAAGTTCATCAGGCCACCTGATGCCATAACCAAAGACAGTCCAGCTGCAATCCAGGATATAATGTTGCTGGCTTCATGCTATGGACAGCTTTTCCCAAGGTGACAAAACAAGAGCCCTTATCGTAATGAGACTCTAGCTCCTCTTAGTTTTTTTCATTTATGCTTATCTCTTTCGCTTGGCAGGATAATCATGTAATTAAAGTTTTACAGATACTACTGGGGGTACCTTGACAGAATCTGACCTAAAAATATTTCAGTCCACCTATTGGGAGGCTGAGGTGGGATAATCGCTTGAACCTGGAAGGCGGTGGTTGCAGTGAGCCGAGATCATGCCACTGCACTCCAGCCTGGGCGACAGAGCGAGACTCCGTCTCAAAATATATATATACATATATATTTTAGTCCACCTAATGAGTGACTTTAACACTATCCTCAATACATCATTGCTCATTCTGCTTTAATTCAACCCAGTCATGAGATACTAGATGATAGAAATACTCTGTAGTATCTATTGGTTAAATAAGAAAATATCTGTGCTGTTGCTAATATTACATGCTGTACCTGGATAAATTTCTCTGGGAACATTGAGACTCAAATACGCAAAATAATAAAACAGGCCACATCATTACAACAGGTTTCATCTAATTCACCATAGTCATTTGGTTTACTTAATTGGTTGCCTTTAAACCTAGACTCATGGCTCAAATTTGTTACATAAACTGAGATTATCATATTACTATTATTTTTCCTTTGTATTTTCTTTTCTTTTCCTTTTTTTTTTTAAACTTTGTACCCATTGCTTGTCAAATTTCTACAATACAAATCCTAACAAAAGAATGCTAGCCCAGCACTTTGAGATGATAATCAATGTTTATGGAACAGATAAAATTAAACTTAACAATGGACTGCAGGTAGACTTGAAAGCCACTTTTTCAGAAATTCCCTGTGGCTCAAATGTGGCTAAAAGAGTTTTGACACTGACTCCTAGTTGTCAATCACTCCCTCCTTTGTGGGACCAGACCAACCCACGTCAGGTCCATTCTGGCACCAAAATATAACCAAAACCTAACTACAGGATTATTGATGAGCAACATGTTCAGAGAAATATCTCAATCAAAAGGAGAAAATGTAAAAGTTCTGAAAATCAAAATGAAGTCACTTGTGTGAAAATCCTGACAAATAGAGCCAGTGAAAGCCATAAAGGAAAAGATCTCACACATGTCTATCTGGTAACAAGAACTATCACAAAAGACTGCAAAAACCACAATGCTGCAAACAGGCCACCACAATCTTACACACAAAAAAGTGCTGCTGCCATGGCATCTGTCCAGCTACTGCCTGTCCAGCCTTGGACTTGTGCTACCCTTGTTTTGATCCTTGTAGCCAAGGATAATTGTTTCCAAATAACTTATATAATCCTCTTCACTTTTTTCTTTTAAAGCCCTTGTCTTCCTTTACCTTCCCAAATATGCTTACTGCATTTTTATTGCAATGCTTACTCTGAAATAAATATCATTTAATTTTAGAGAGTCTCTCTCTCTCTCTATTGTTTAAATTCTAACAACACAATATGCAGCTGTCTTTGCCTGTCTTTTCATTGAGCTAAGGTTTCCAGGGTTCTTTAATGTGTAGCATGTGCCAGTAGTTCATTCATTTTTATGGCTGAAGATTATTCCATTATGTAGCTATGGCTCATTTTGTTTAGCTAGTCATCAGCTGATGGTGGACATCTGGCTCTTTTCTACTTTTTGGCAATTATGAATAACACTGCCATGACCATTCAAGTACAAGTTTTCTGTGAACACATGTCTTCAATCCTTGAGTATATACCTAGAAGTGAAATTGCTGAGTTATATGGCAATTCTATCGTTAACCTTTTTTTAGGAAAAGTCAAACTGTTTTCCAAATGACTGTACTATTGCCCTCCCACCAGCAATGCGTAATAGTTCCAATTTGTCCACTTCCTCGCCAACAATTGTTATTGTCTCTGTTTTGAATTTGAGCCATTTTAGTGGGTGTGAGTGGTTTCTCATTGTGGTTTTGATTTGCATTTCCCTGAGGAATATGTTGAGTATCTTTTTATTTGCTTCTTGGTAATGCAGGCTCGTATTAATCTATTAATTAATTCATGTATTTGAGTCCCAGCTGTGTCAATTATGTGTAGTCTTGGGCAAGTTATTTTACTTCTCTGAACTCAGTTTTCTCATTCATAAAGTGGAAATAATAATCTCTGTCTTATGGGATTGTTGAAAGGACTAGAATGAATATATGCAAAGCTCTTGGCAGAAATTAAGAACTCAATGAAGACAGAAGAGATGTAAGTCAACATAATGAGTAAGTCAAACGATGCTGGAGTTGGGTCTTGGAAGGAAAGCAACATTCTAATAGGTAGAGGTACAAAGAAAAGAGATTCCAACCAGAATGAGTGTGAACAAAGAGGAAGCCACAGTACAGTGGAATGTGAGCAATTACTGAAAACTCTGCACAGATTTGGCTAGAGTAGTAGAGTTCTCCTTCAAGAGGAGCAGTGGCAGAAAAAGGACTGGAGGGAAGGATGGACTCAGACACAGAGGGCAACAAGATAAGGGCAAGGGATGTGTGTCTCCTTGGAGTCCACCATGTGCTGCCCTGCTGTTGTCTAGGGACTGGGTGAAAGTCAATATTGCCCTGCTCAGGACCAAGAGACATTGCTACCATTGGCACTGCTTGGATGTTCCTGATGCTCCAGAACTTCAATCACTTGGAAATTACAAGGGTTTAGACGCTCTGTACCAGAAATGGGGCAAAAGCCAAATATATATTTATTTCTCCTTATATGTGTATATATATATAGAGAGAGATGGGGTCTTACTTGTTGCTCAGGCTGGTCTTGAACTACTCCTGGCCTCAAGCAATCCTCCTCCTGGCCTCCCAAAGTGCAGAGATTCATATATGTATTTCTTATTATGTATATGTCATAATCTCATATTATTTTTATCTGACCCATCAAATTCTGCTGGAAGGATCTGGTATCACATCTTAGTATGGGCTTAGCCAGTGAGTCCCTCTGTTATTTCTCTAGAGGTATCTTCACCCTCAACAATCCTCCTGAAGGATGCTCATCCTGATTGCAGCACTATTCACAATAGCAAAGACTTGGAACCAACCCAAATTCCCATCAATGATAGACTGGATAAAGAAAATGTGGCACATATACACCATGGAATACTATGCAACCATAAAAAAGGGTGAGTTCATGTCCTTTGCAGGGACATGGATGAAACTGGAAACCATCATTCTCAGCAAACTAACACAGAAACAGAAAACCAAACATCAAATGTTCTCACTCATAAGTGGGAGTTGAACAATGAGAACACATGGGCACAGGGAGGGAACATCACACACTTGGGCCTGTCGGGGGGTGGTGGGCTAGGGGAAGGATAGCATTAGGAGAAATACCTAATGTAGATGATGGGTTGATGGGTGCAGCAAAGCACATGGCACATGTATACCTGTGTAAGAAACCTGTACGTTCTGCACATGTATCCCAGAACTTAAAGTATAATAACAACAAAACTAGAGAAAGAAAAGAAATCCCAGACCCATTGATTAGAATGCACCATTTTCCCGGATCCTATTGGAAAATGGCACAAGGCAGACGTCAACAATAAACAGGATGACACGTGAAATAGGATGATTCATTCAAACACAAAGACACTGTGGTTTCTCTTCTCCCAGCTTGTTTAACAACATCCTGATTCACAAGCACCCTTTGCTGGTGCTGGCTCTGTGTGGAGGAAGGCATAAGTTTGGGGGACAGATACAGCTGACTCTGTCTGTGACCACTGTCACCAGGGTTGCTCCCCAAGTTTTGTTTTAGAACCTACACCAAAGATGCACTATTGACACATTACATGAGCAACAAGCAGTTTAAAGCCTGAGCTTGTTCCTGTGCCCGCTTAGGTTTTCTGATTTTAAATGAGGCCTGGAGTGATACATGTGGCTGCTCTGTTGAAGGATGAGGAACAGAGGCTTTTACGAGAGTTGACGTCTGCAGAAAATCAAACACCTCTTTTCCCCACAGGTGGCCAAATGTCCAGGATGAGCGTTCTGTGGAAACAGAAGACAAAAATACACATATGTCCAGGAAAATGCTGCCAGCAGCACAGTATCTACAGCATTTCTCTTCCAGGGCTAAGGAATTGGATTACCCTGTGCCTCGCCTCTGCCCGCAGGGAAGACCATTCCTGGATTTATCCTTCAAGGGAGCAGTAGAAGCAGATCCAGCATGAAGTGAGGGACACGACCCCCCTTACGCTCCCGGCACATCTCCTAGGCTGAGGCCATCTCAGATCGGAAGACCAGCTTTCCAAAGCGAGTCTCCTCCAAATCGTGAAAGAGAAAAAGGTGAAACATGTGATGCCCTGATGGTAATAGGATCACAGATTCAAAAACACGAGAGAGGTGGGGCTGGACAAAGTCTTCAGGAGACTGCTGAATTGTTGACTTTATTCCAAGTCAGGATCCCGAGTAATCACTGAGCCTCAGTATAATTATGTGCACATGAGAAGCTATTTATTTCTTGCATTCTGCTTATCTTTGCCAAGAAAGCACTCCTCCCCCATGCCTTAAAATGCCCAGAAACATGGTTTTGGATGAGCCACTTGGAGTACTAAGGGCACCTCCTGACCGAGGCCCATGAGAACATGCCAGCCCTGTGGGGAAAGTGTGGAGCTTATGTACCCACTGCCCTTTCCCTGCTCAGAGCAGGGCATCCTGACAGCAGCTATGAATGCCCCTGCTCTGAGCATCTCCCTGCCAGGCTCTGTGCACTCCATCAGGGTCCTCTTCTGAGCCTGGCACTGTTCACTTGGGCAGAGAGTCCACTCAAGCCCCAGAGTCCTTGGCTCCATTGGAAGCTCCTCCCGGGGCATCAACACAGCCCTCTCCCCCATATCTATTGGCTTTTGGGGAGGTGGGCCTGGGAAGCCCTTTTCTCTCCCTACACTGTGTTCATGCTGCCAGCCAAGCTGGAGCCTCTGCATTTTTTAGTCCAATTATTGGCAACTGTACAGGTTTCCCAGAACACCTGGCCCTCCTCACCCTCATTCTGTGGCGTTATTTAATCAAACTGGCTAGGACTATTTATAGCTCCCCTGAAAGGCAGCAGCCGCTCCATTCCCAGGAAAGTGGAACATTGAGACATTAAAGAGTATTTTCAAAAGAAAAAAATCCTCTCACGGACTCATGAGGTTGCCATCCTGATGTGTCTTCCAAAAATAGGCCTCCCGGACAGCTCCTCGGTGCCACCAGCTCTCTCTTCTGTGTACCTGCCACCTGCCAGGCTCAGAGTGAGAAAGCTACCTGCTACTGTTCCCAAATGGTCAGTTCTAATTCTCCAGCCTTCCTCCAAACCCAGAAAATCCCAATATTCTTCCCTGGGTAGATGCCCACCTAATTGAAACAGATGGAGCCAAGGGAAATAACTAAATCGCAACTCAACATTCCCTCTAGCACAAGGAGTCAATAATTCTGGATACTCTGCCACTCTGTTCTCCATGGGAGCACCAAAACCCATCTTAAATACAACCTCTTTTGTGCTTTAAGACTTATGGAAGGAAGCCCAGGCTCAATGATTTGCTCAAAGTCCCAAATGCTCTTTGGACTCAAGGCATTCTTGTGGAGCATCAGACAAATGTGTGGCTCTTGGCCAAGAGCCAGGGAGCACAGAAAAGTTAGAAGCTGGGGCAGGTGCATGCTGGCTGGGTAGAAATAGTTACAGACCTTTGGAGATGAGGAGCAACCGAGAAGGTACGGTTGGAGAGCCTGGGGCAACAGAGCTAAGCATAGGGTTCAGGGGCAGACGATGCAAGCTCTCATCCCAACTTCACCACTACGTGTGATCTCAGATAAGTGACATGTTCCCTAACCCAAGTGTCTGTATCCTATGCACATCACATTGTTGTGTTACATAAGATAATCCAGACACCGTGCCTGCCACAAAGGAAGCATGTATCATGGGTTAGCATAACGTTACAGAAGAAGAAACAGAGATACAGACACTTTGAGAGACTTGTCCAGGGCTTCATGGCCCCAGGATCAGAACTGAGTCTCCTGGTTTCCAGTCTGGGATCTATTTATTATTATTATTATTGTTGTTGTTATTACTTGTGTGTGTGTGGTACCAGCCACCTCTTATAAGAGAGTTAAACAAGACAAGTGGTCAAGAGTTTCAGGCATCAGTGAACACTCAGGAACTGAAGCATGAAGAAAAAATTATAGAAAGAGGAGTATATACTCAGGGAAACTTGAATCTATGCTCCCAGGTTGTAAAAAATAAAAATAAAAATAAACCACATGAAGGAGCAAGAACCAAGAACCTTCATAACTCAGGGAATATTTTGCTTCAGCTGGGGAGCCCTCACATTTTCCTATTGTGTTGAAAGCCAGTTCTCAAGTTCGCTAATCTGAGGCTTGCAGGACAGAAAAAGGGGACACCCCAAACTGCAGGGGAAGGAAGGTGCCACTGCTCCTAGGCTGTTTCAGGCATAGGGAGGTAAAGAGGCTGGCAAACATGGGACATCAGGCAAGAGCTAACAAGCTAGAGAGCACAGGCAAGACTAAACAGAAAACAAAGAATAGTGCAGACAAAGGGACAAACGCTGTATGATTCCACTTGTTTGAGATACCTAGGGGAGTCAAACTCACAGTAACAGGCAGTAGAAGCGTGGTTGCCAGGGGCTGGGGAGGAAGAGGAGTTAGTGTTTAATGGAGATAGAGTTTCAGTTTGGGAAGATGAGAGTTCTGGCAATGGATGGTGGTGATGGTTACACAACAATGTGAATGTAGTGAATGCCACTGGACTGAACATGTAGAAATGGTTAAGATGTAGATTTCATGTTATGGGTAATTTATCACAATAAATAATAGATGATAGATAGATAGAATTATACAAAACAGAACTGCAGACCAAGGAGTATGGTACAGACCTCAGGGGTCTCTGCAGCCAGGGAGGGCATAAATCATTTTACACTGAAGAAACCAATGACAGTTTCATAAAGACAATAGGATTTCAGTTAGAATTTTGTGTTAGATAGGACCTCTTGGTTGTAACTATAAAAGACTCCACTCAAATTAACTTAAACACCAAAGGGTTGCTTTTTGTAAGGACTGAGTAGTAGCCCATAGACTCAAAGCTGAACAACTAAAGTCAAAATGAGAAAGAAGGGCATCTAGGCCATCCTAAACAGGGCCTTAAAATCTTGTTCTCTTTAATTTTTGCCTCTCTCTGGGTGTTGCCTTCATTCTCATTTGTTGTAGACTGGCTTTCCCCGAGAGTGGAAGATTTAAAAATTTATCCCAGCCGGTGCAGTGGCTCAAGCCTGTAACCCCAGCACCTTGGGAGGCTAAGGCAGGCGGATCACTTGAAATCAAGAGTTTGAGACCAGCCTGGGTAGCAAAGCAAAACTTCATCTCTACAAAAATGAAAAATAAATAAAAAGTAGCTGGGTGTGGTGTTTCATGCCCATCTACTCAGGAGGCTGAGGTGGGAGGATCATTTGAGCCCAGGAGTCAAGGCTGCAGTGAACCATGATCACACAATTGCACCCCAACCTGGGTGACAGAGTGAGACCCTATCTTAAAAAAATTAAAACCTTACCCTGGGCCAATGGGGGCCAGGAGGACAAGATACTGTAACCATTTGCTCCTGCTAGAGCTACACGACTGGAGTTGGGAGAGATGTTCCCTCAAAGAAGGTGAGGTTCCCTAGAAACAGCTCCTGAGATAGGACGTGTGTGCAGGATTACTGGAGAGTGCTCTTGGGATACACGCATAAGGAAGAAAGGCAGGCAGGATTGGACAGCGGAAGAAGCTGACCCATAATGTGGTTACACCTGGAGCCTTAGCTACAGGGAGCTCTGGAGCTGCCAGTTGTCCCCAACTGAGACAAGGAAGTTGGACCACTGTGTCCCATTGACCAGTTGTTGTTATGTGTCATTTATATGTATCATTTCCCTATGAGAAGGTATAACCTTGGGTGATTCCCAGGGAAGGACACAGCTACAAACCATCAGCAGCGGATATTCCCAGACATCAAAGAATGTGTTTGCTGTTTTAAAGAGGGCGTTGGGGGATGTACCACAGCACACAGGACTGTCCACACTTCACCCTGTTCACATCTTATTTCT